GAAAATGTATCACAAACAGCTAGAAGTCACCTCTGTATAAAAGATTTGACCCCATCAAACAGGAGATGCTGAACCTGAGATTCACATTCCTTCCCGAAGGAGCCCAGATGATAATTCCACAAATCCTTGGAATCCTTCAGCCAATAATCCCTAAACTTCACTTGCTGGAGCTTCACATATAGTTAAAGAACATACACTGTATGTATAAGCAAGTCGCAAGTCACAATATAAAAAATATAATCAATAGTGTAAGTAGCATATTGGTATTGGAAATTAATACCTTAATTTTTTATTAATTTACTATTCTGTAAATAATTTTTGAAAGTATTTTTGATTTAAATTAGTAAATACTTAATGATATGTTTACATAATATTTAGGTGAATAAGCAAACAATAATGGTGTAAAGAAGGAGAATATCACTGAATCTAAATAATGTGTAATGGGGAACTTTACCACCCTTTGATTTCAATAAAACTTGATTTCAAAACAAAATGGAGAATGATACAACAGTTTAATGCTATCTTAGAATGACCATTTGCACTTCTATACCATTATATGTGGGAGCAATATTTTTTTTAAAAAGATAGGTGGGTGTCAGGAAGCTTTATGAATTGGTCTCAACCTGTTTAACAGCTCCACAGACTGCATCTCCCTCCATGAGCCTGCTCAAGAATTAAGATTATTTGGGAGGCCTTTCAATCAGTCCCACCATCCTTATAGACACACTTGGTGGGGACACAGGAAAGGGCCTTCTCTGTCGATGTTCCCAGACTCTGGAACTCCCTCCCATGGGAAGCTAGGCTGGCCCCACCTTTGCTATCCTTCCATAAGCAGTGAAAGACCTTTCTCTTCAGGCTTTTCCTCAGTGATCAGCAGTCTGAGAGGTTTTTTTTTTTAACGTATTGTTGTGCTCTGTTGTTTTTAAATGTATTTTTACTATTTATTCTATTTACCATTCTTAATATGCTACTTGTTTAATTTCTTTTTAAATATTTGTATACTTACTGTTTTTAACTTATAAATATTGACTTTTAATTATTGTAATCTGCCTTGGGTCCTTTTAAAGAGAAAGGCAGGGTAAAAATATTTTAACTAACTAACTAACTAACTAACTAACTAACTAACTAACTAACTAACTAACTAAATAAATAAATAAATAAATAGGAGATATGACGTATAATAGGAAAAAATGCATAATACTTTATATTTGACTTCTCCCCCTTTGTTTTGTTACAACTATAGAATCTATTTTCTATTTTCCACTTTCCCACTAGACATAACATGCAAGATAGATAACAATAACACAAAACAGTTCAAAAACAAAATTTGAATTAAATTATAATGCCAAAGGCATGCCCGGACAGCAGCGAGTGAACTAACCTAGCCCCACCCTCCAAGCAAAGGTTTCCAGAACCTGGGACTGGCCAATAAGAAAACAGCCAACTGCTGGATGACTGTGTGAGCAGAGGCAAAGCCCAGTAGGGGTGTCTCCTCAGGAGGACAGATAGTATCCATGATTTCTTGGCTCTCCCACTACAGCCTGATGGAGTGGTTGCTGGATGACATTTGGGAGAGATGTTGTAAAATGAACTTCTCAGCTCAGCTGCTGATGGCAGTGCTTTCCCTGCCCATCACGTTCTTTGTGGTCATTTTCTGGAGGGATTTGGTCTGTTTGCATTTGGAGAGTCAGAACATCAATCACTTTTATTGTTTGGAGAAATTATCACCAGAAACACCTTTTCTCTGCATGCTATTTTTAGCACACTGTCTTAATTAGCTCCTGATCTTTGTTGTATAATCTTTGTACTTTTTTAAAAAAAATAGCAGTGTTTGCCACTGTAGAATGGTTTATTTACTTAATTGCTTTGTTAGGAGAAACAGTATTTTATTAGCCACTTCCTCACAGAATTGGGATTCAAAGCTGCTTACAAAACAGTTAAAAACAATTGTAATTTATATTGATTTTAAAATTTCTAATAAAGTTGATTCCCAGTGTGAATAATCTATTGAATAATGGAACAAGACTCTGGGGAACAGGGTATGAATCCCTGCTTAGCCATGGAAACTGACTGGGGAAATAGAACTGGTAAACTACTCTATAAATATCTCTTACCTTGAAAGCCTTATTATACGTGCACTATGAGTCAATTCCAACTTGATGGCCCGGAACACACACATAGTATTAAAATAGGATTAAATTATTCATCATCATCATCATCATCATCATCATCATCAAATTTTAAATTGTTTAAAATACTTGATTAGAAATATTTCTACAATTTTAAATTGAAAAAAGAAATGGTACATTATGTGGTATCTTTTAGTTTGAAGTACTTACTTTCTGAAGGAGCAGAATTGTTCCACCATAGCAGTGACATCATAATATATTGCCTTATGATAAACTGTCAGCTTCCAGTTTTTTCATTCTGATAGCTTTTTCTTCATTTTGTTTAGCCAGGGCTCATCATTTGTAACTGAGAAAATAAATCCTAATGATTTTAGGATTTAGGTTCTCAAAAACCATCTGCTGAGCCTCTTTATCTTGAAAAAAAATTCAGCAATGCTAAATTACCTTTTATGTGATTAACTACCATTAAATCTTTGGAAAGCCAGTGTAATGTAGTGGGTTGAATGTTGGGCTAAAACTCAGGAGACCTGGGTTTGTATCTATGTTGAGATATGGAAACTCATTGGGGAGCAGCAATGTTGAAAGCACTGCTTGAATATTTCAGATATCTTGAGAAGTCTACTAGGGTTACCCTAAGTTTGAATCAACTAAACTGCATATAAAATACAACATCATTTAATTGTTCAGCTGTGTTCTCAAATTATCAAATATATTTAATAATTTGCTTATTTTCACTATTGTTTATCAAAATAGAGACATCAGGAGCATGGACTACAAGCTTTGCTGTTGCTTGATGATTTTCCGTTTCACATAGTACATAATACCTTATTACTTTTACAGACTGATCTAAATCATTTTGTGTAAGTATCTATTGTTAGCATGCAGAGCTATAAAGTGAGAGGACTTTAAAGCTAGGCCTCTGCACACAAGAAAATTTATCTCAACCAATTTTTGTTATGTCACTTTGCTTTACAATAAACAATTTCCAGCCTGAAATGTTTGGGGATTCCATCATTTAATATTACTTTCCATAATACAGTAGTCGTGGTGGATATTGTCAAAGGTTTTAATGTGAACCTACTGTAAAAAGCCTGCCCCACCACTTCCCATTTTGTGCCAGTGGGGAAAAATAACTTTGACTAAACAGAATATATATTTTGTCAGGAAATTGTGGATGTCTTCCAAGCTCAGGCACTCATAATGATTTTTACATTCATGACTTGATACATTTTGCAGAAAGCTGCCAACTTTCCATAATGTCTTCCCTTGCATGTAAATTATTATAAAATCTTTCTGCCTGCTATTTCCTTTGGATGAAAAAATGTCTTCTGGTCTTCATTGTCTCTCAGGCTCTTATACTGAATTGGTGCTGTTCAGGTCTTCACCTGAAGTTCAATTGGAGAACATCTATTATAGCCATTTTCATTAACCAGCTTTGTTTTGGATAGTTTTAGCTCTTTGTCTACAATGGAATTAAGCAAGTATAAATGTTTGTTAAGTATAGCTTATTTTCCCCTTTTTGAATCCTTTCCTATACAATGCCAAAATCATCTTGTATAAAGTTATGCCAACAGTCCTCCTGCTCAGATTGGGGCCATTGGCAGCAATTTTAAATCATTAAAGGCCCCTCCACCCTACCTAGAGGTTTCCAAATGTTTCCCCAGGTCAAAAGGGACATGGAGTGAGTGTTGGAATATATGAATGGGGATAGGAAACTTTTAATGAGCATGAAAAGCTCGTGGCTGATGATGTCACCCATTCGCATGGATGTAAGTTTATGTAAAAGGATTTTGGCCACTATAAGCTAACCACTTATGTTTTCCTGCATTTTATTCATCTCAGTAATGTTACTTTCTTGATATAATCTTCTTCTTCTTCAAGAAAAGGTACACCTCTTTTTCTGTAGCTGATCACTTCTGAATTTCTGACCATTGCTTTCTTGGATTGCTGTCTAAAGCTGAGAACCAGCATGGCTTACGTTAAATATTCTACAGATAGACCAGACAGGAAACTGCTACCTGTAAACCCATTGTGAGGTTCTCACCGTCTGGAAAACAAACAGCACTGCCAGTTGGCCAGTGAAGGGCTTCCCAAGATCCTCATATGCTACCAGCCTACCTGAACTCCAAGATAAGCCACAGCTAGGGTAGCAAACAGTTGGATTTCTCATCATCCTTATTTTGCTTTTAAAAAAATAATTATGGAAAATGACAAGAAAGACTGTTCTTTATATAAAATTAGTTGTTTCTCCTTTCAGTCTCTGGTGAAATCAGCAGGGGTTAAACTTTGGCCAGGCTGTTCTCCCTTAACTGACCGGTTAACAGGTTTATACCTGGCTTCCTCTAAGGGGGAAAAAGTTTATCTGATTTTCACAAGAATTATGTACTGTATGCCACTTCTTTTGTTCATTTCCTCAAGAGAGACTGGAAGTGTCTTTGTTTACAGTTAGTTGGGGCAGCCATGTTTATCACAATTCGTCTTTCATAATACTGGACTTATCTTTACATTGCTGTACCCAGTGCTAGTCTGGGTCTGCATTTTTGGGACAGGCAGTGTCAGTGATTCATTATCTTTTCTAATCAAAGCCATTGTTTTATAGGCCTGGTTTCAAGTCCTTTCCATGACTAATATTTTTCTTCCACAAAATCAACTTTTTCTTCCTCAGAATTTCACTCTGGTATACTTGACTACTTACTAGCTAGTCCTACTGCTAGTTCCCCCGAATTTTGAACAAATCCTTTAGAGTTCAGCATTTTGATAAATCTCAGGATATGATGAAAAAAGAGGTTTCTCAAGGCCCTCACAAAGTGAGAGGATAGGAGACATTTCTTTGTGGAAGTCACTGTTGCCCTGGAGACAAGAACAACAACAGCTAAAAGGAATGTGAGGCAGTTAGCTGAGTCCAGAAGTCACATAGCAGCTGGTGAATTTCAGCATGGGGTAAGAAGGGCTGGCATTACAGGGACGGAGATGAAGGGCTGGTGTTGCTTTCCATGGAATTGCTATGGGTCAATTGTCGTGTGGCAGCCATTGCAAATTTGCACCCCTGAAATTGTGAGGTGGGCAGTTTCTCAGGGGAGGGAGGCAATTGAACTGCCTGGAACAGGGTGACTATATATGGGACAGGAAAATTTCTTTGGTCCAAGCCATGTGGTCACTGTTTACAAGGAAGGAAGGGGCTTTTTATTAGCATGACTACAAAACAGAAATGAATATCGTAGCAAGGTATTTCCATAATCAAATACAGTTGGTTTCTATATTCAGATATTCTAGGGATTTGCATATCATAGCACTGACTGAAGTACTGTTTGATGCCTTAAGAATTCTGTCTCTCCCTCCATTTTAAATGAGCAGAGTTTTTAGTTATGTTCTCCTTTGGTACCAAAACCACAATCCCTTCTCAGAAGAAATATTTATTGCATATAAACAGGAAAGTGGTATACAATTACAGTTTTGTTTCTCCTCTCTACAAATTGCTCTTCATTGTTCTCATTATTTCTCATATATTCTTGTGTGTTGATTGCCTTTCTCAAACCTTTAAGTGCCTTTTCACGCAGATATGCATCAGGATGTATAGGAGAACTTCCCTGTCTTTGCTTGCCTGATAATTCTTATTGTAATTATAATAGCATCTGTTTGGTCTGTGAGTCAGCTGTGTGTGCATGTCTGCTTTCTTGCTGTCTAGTTTGAAGTTTTGACTTAATACTGACTCCAGTGTATGTACAATTCTCTTATTTTGTTTATGGGCAGAGACATTTGTTTTCTTTGTTAGTATTTCAGTTTAGTTGCATAATTTCTAGCACATTGAGCCTTCATATGATACACAAGTTGACTCCCCCCCCCATTAATCATTTTTAAAGTGACTGTATGCTTCTGTCTATAAAAGCTAAGGTTTATGAACTCAGATTCTTGTAGTGACCAGGAATTGGAAGTTTCATAAGATTACGAATTTTATTTTTTTATTTGCTATTAACCTTGATGGATGGGGAAATTCCATGTAAATGGACAGGGCTTTGTACCTGATTGGCAGTAATCAGCCTAACTTCAACAGCCGTCTTGGGTCATTTGTGGGGCACTGAGGTAGGGGCAGGAACTGCATCTGCCCTTCATCTGTCGTTGCCCTGGAACAAAGGATGTTAGTAATGAACATTTTATGGTTCATAAACCAAGTTACTAAACTCAGAAAGCAATAATTTGAATAGTAGCAAGTAAAATTGGTAGCAGTATCACTCAGGCTGTTGAGATTGTACATATATTACAAGGGAAATATGGGCTTGGCAGCCCAGTGTTTACCTCACAATCCTATTTTGTTACACTTGTTCTATTTATATCCCAACTGCTTCCAGTGAGATCAAGGCTGAGTACGTAGGTCTCCTCCTTCCCATTTTGTCTTTTAAAAAATATTTATTTATTTATTTATTTACTTACTTACTTACTTATTTATTATTATTATTATTATTGTTGTTGTTGTTGTTGTTATTGTTATTGTTATTGTTATTGTTATTGTTATTGTTATTGTTATTGTTATTGTTATTGTTATTGTTATTGTTATTGTTATTGTTATTGTTATTGTTATTGTTATTGTTATTGTTATTGTTATTGTTATTGTTATTGTTATTGTTATTGTTATTGTTATTGTTATTGTTATTGTTATTGTTATTGTTATTGTTATTGTTATTGTTATTGTTATTGTTATTGTTATTGTTATTGTTATTGTTATTGTTATTGTTATTGTTATTGTTATTGTTATTGTTATTGTTATTGTTATTGTTATTGTTATTGTTATTGTTATTGTTATTGTTATTGTTATTGTTATTGTTATTGTTATTGTTATTGTTATTGTTATTGTTATTGTTATTGTTATTGTTATTGTTATTGTTATTGTTATTGTTATTGTTATTGTTATTGTTATTGTTATTGTTATTGTTATTGTTATTGTTATTGTTATTGTTATTGTTATTGTTATTGTTATTGTTATTGTTATTGTTATTGTTATTGTTATTGTTATTGTTATTGTTATTGTTATTGTTATTGTTATTGTTATTGTTATTGTTATTGTTATTGTTATTGTTATTGTTATTGTTATTGTTATTGTTATTGTTATTGTTATTGTTATTGTTATTGTTATTGTTATTGTTATTGTTATTGTTATTGTTATTGTTATTGTTATTGTTATTGTTATTGTTATTGTTATTGTTATTGTTATTGTTATTGTTATTGTTATTGTTATTGTTATTGTTATTGTTATTGTTATTGTTATTGTTATTGTTATTGTTATTGTTATTGTTATTGTTATTGTTATTGTTATTGTTATTGTTATTGTTATTGTTATTGTTATTGTTATTGTTATTGTTATTGTTATTGTTATTGTTATTGTTATTGTTATTGTTATTGTTATTGTTATTGTTATTGTTATTGTTATTGTTATTGTTATTGTTATTGTTATTGTTATTGTTATTGTTATTGTTATTGTTATTGTTATTGTTATTGTTATTGTTATTGTTATTGTTATAGAATAAACAGTGGTACCAGTGCTACTAGGGTTAAGGGAATGGCAGAAGGTTTTGGTAAAGGGTAAAAATAACGGTGTGTTAGGAATTTCATATCTGTGCATCATTACCATTTTCTTCTCACTATCTCCTTCCTATTTTATCTTCACAAGAATCGGTGAGCTAAGTCAGGCTGAAAGATTGTGACTAAGAGGCCCAAGATCAGCTATTGAGTTTCATAGCTGAGTAGCATTTAGAACCCAACACTTCCAAATCCTAGTTCAATACTGTGACCATGACCCCATGGCCTCACACTTTTTATAGTGCAGGGATGTGGAGAACTTAAGTTGCTGGGGGTAAAACAGCAGGTAGCGATTCATTATTGTTGGTTCTCTCTGGCAAATGCCCTTCCAACCACTAGCGCACTTCCACTTCAGCTTGATTCTGTCATCAGACATGACCCTGCTAATGGTGGAATGGATCTGGTGGAATGGATCTGGTGAAGTTTGTAGAAGACGTCAGGGGAAATGGGGCGCCTCTCCTACTTGGCAACTCTGCCCAACAGGTGCTTCTTCCTTGCCTCTCCATTGGTGTTAACATGAACAAATGTAAGTGTAGCAAACAGCCTGCCCTCACCTGTCTGTCACAGCTGAACAGTGGAGTAGGAGCAAATGAGAGGACGGAAGGTGGAGCCAAGGGGGGAGGGGGCTGGATATAAAGGCTGGTGTATGGTGTTTGGAGGGAGATTCGGTGAGTGAGAGACAGTGTGAAACTTAAAAGTAAACTTAGAGTGAGTTAAAGGCCTGTAAGAACACTGAATGTAACAGAGAGTTGATAGAGTTTTAAAGTTAAAGTAGGATTGACTTAGATGCAAGTGATTAGCAACCTGTGATTTACCTATGGAGTAATAATCCTATATGAACTTCCCTGATCAAATAAATAACTTAAGTTTTAAAAGCACACGTGTCTCCTTGATTGAATGGTATTGAAGCAGCAATACCTGGTGGCAGTGAAGAAGGAAGAAGAGCGAGAACCTTGTGAAGACAAGAGGGAATAGGGGCTTCAGAGGGGATCACCACAATAAGTTTGAGAACATGTGTAACACAGTTCTAACAGGAAATAAATATATAGGCTGCAATTCTAAGTGTTTCTTATAAAATGCTGACTCTAGTGTTATTTCCATGCAAATAGTCTCTGGCTGTAACTGTTAGCCTTTAGGTCCCACGGAAATACAGGAGAATTTTAGCTTATCCATTTATAGCAACAACAACAAAAAAATCATCTTTACATTATTTGATGCATTCTATATTGTAAGCATCTGTTTATTTCTGTGGGGAATGTGGGATTCCCCCACCCCCAAGAAATGTCAATCTTTAATCCTTTTAAATGATCTGGCATCTTCTGTTAATTTTTCCAACATTTTTCCTTTTGTGTTCCATGGAAGGATACTGTACTATAGGGAAGCAGAGTTTCAGAATCAGAAATAATGTTTCAGTGCTATCTTCTCTGTGATGATATTGAAGGACAGTGGGACTTGTAGTCACTGAGAATAAGAGAAAATGGATTCAGTTAGGTTTCAAAATGAAGACATGGGAATGTGGTAGAGGCTGTTTTTCCTAATTTACAGTCAGGCTGGTACACAGTGAATCCTGATAAGAGTGCAAGGTCGAAGAGGGTTATTATATAGTGCAAAGACCCAACAAATTCCTGTCTAATTGGAATGGAGATAACACGCTGGCATCTCCATGAGAATTGGAGGCGGAGTGAGCAGTTATGCCTCTTTGCGTTAATTGGTTTACAGCCATGAAGAAGGAGGTCTGAGAAATGGAGAAAATGAACAATGGACCATGTGAAAGAGAACTTTTTTCCTAAGAGAAGTTAAAGATGGATCGTGTTATGGAGCTGGATGGTACAGAATGTAGTAAGAAAGAAGGGGGTGGGACTAGCCCACCTTAGTTCAGCTTTTTAGTGTTTATTATTTTAATGGGAAGTAGTTGTTTTATTTAACTTTTGTGATCTTTGAACGTGTCTTTATGCTATGCTTAAGGAAACAGTTTCTATGAAATTATATTTTATGAATACGAAATAATCATAAAAATCCTAATTGAGGACTAGTCTCTTGGACCAGCAAGGTTTGGCTAAATCCAGAAGAGTGGAAAAGGTCATTGATTAGCTACCATAGAGAAGTCCTATTTAAATGAGCTGTTGTGAGTTCTAAGGACTCACAAAGCCTATGTTGAAGTACTAAGTAAAATAAAGTGTTCTTTAATGGTCAGGCTTGTTCAAGGCACATATACTATGCACTGCTGAGGCTTGAGGACTTACCTCAGTACAAAGTGGTAGATTTGTGGCCTCTGGAACTCCCTGCACGAATGCCATACGCTCCTTAGGGAGACTTGAGCATCACATTCTCTTTATATACTATATGCCTGAAACTAACGAGAGGACAGT